TCCATCTGTCAGTCTAGTTGTCAATCTGTCTGTAAACATGTTTTTCAAAATGCTACTCCACCTACAGTTTTCATCTGATTTTAATCTAACTTGGCTAACAAGTAGATTATACTAATATGCATTAAATGCACTATTGAATTGGTTTATGATTTCCATGAACGATGTTGCCATGATTACAAAAGATAAACATTTCTATGAACTTCATTTAAAACGCCACTTCCTTCTACAGTTTTGATTTAATTTCAACTCGGCACACAAGAAGACTACACTATGACACATTTTATTTATTGTTTTTTTTTTATTTTAATGATTGGTGTTGTCATGGTTACTAAAATAGAACTTTCTGGGAAATACTTTCAAAATACTACTCCTCCTACAGTTTTGATTTGATTTCAAAAACACTTGGCAAACAAGTAGACTACCATATGAAACATTATTCTTTTTTGTTTTAGATTTCAAGGAACAGTTTTGCCATGGCTTCTTAAATTAGAAATCTCTCTGAAATATTTAAAAATGCTACATGTACTCCTCCTAGTACAGTGACGTGCCAAAATTGATGCAATTTTTTCCCGAAGTTTTTTTATGTTTGTTTTATTCTCTGTGCATTTTGATATATAATTCAAAAACAAGACACTTTTTTAAAAAAAAAATGAGTTGATACAAATTATATGGGGTATGATTTCCCCTTCCAGCCAATTTCAGTTGCTTCCCCTGTTTTAATTCTCTAGTGTTTTCACTGTAAACAATGGAGGGCAGACGACAAGAAATGTCGCAAAGAAAATTGGCTTTTGATTTGTACCTACGAGGCGAAAAACAAAGTGATTTGGCAGAAATATTTTCTGTGAATAAATCTACAATTTCTAGACTTGTGAAGAAATATATTAATGGGGAAGGTATGGAAAAGAGCTCCAATAGAGGTAGGAAGAGTCTGATTGATGAGAGGGGTGACAGAATTTTGATTCGGACTGTGAAGAAGAATAGAAGACAAACTTTGAATGAAATTGTGGATAATTTCAACCAACATGCTACTGACAAGGTGTCTGTTAGGACTGTTCAGAGGAAACTCCATTCTCATGGAATTCATAGACACAAAGTAAGAAAGACCCTCACTGTGTCAGAAGTGAATCGAATACGTCGTGTTCAATGGTGTAAACATATAAAAAATCACAAAGTTGATGACTATTGGAGAAAAGTGATTTTTCAGATGAAACTCAGGTAGTGATATTAAATGAAAATCGTCTGTATGTGTGGAGAACCTAGGATGAAGCGTATCGTCCAGAGTGTGTTGGTCAACATGGCTGCAATGTAAAGTTGAGCGCTATGTTTTGGGGATGTGTGACATATTCAGGAGTGGGGACATTGGTTCCAGTAACTGGAAATATGAACTCTGAGAAGTATATTGAGACCCTTGATGAACATATATGGCCAGTCTTGAAATATGAACTCTGAGAAGTATATTGAGACCCTTGATGAACATTTATGGCCAGTCATTGCGAAACATTTTGGAAATTCGTCATTTTTATTCCAGGATGACAATGCCCCCTGCCATGCCTCACAAATGACAACAGCTTGGAAGCGTGAGAATGATTTAGATTGTCTTGACTGGCCATCACAGTCACCGGACCTCAACATCATTGAAAATGTCTGGGTAATTTTAAAAATTCGACTGAGAAAATCACTGGCAGCAATTAAACCCAAAGATGATTTGATCTCTGAAGTTAGGAACATTTGGTCCTCTCTAACTGTCCCTTATATTAGAAACTTATACCGCACAATTCCAAGAAGATTACATGCTGTAATTACTGCTAAAGGTCACATCACTAAATACTGAAAATTTCAAGTAAGTACCTTTTATAGTTTTTGAATTATGATGGTTTGAAAATGCAAGAAAGTTTGTTTTGAAACAATGACGTCAGGGAAAAGTTGCATCAATTTTGGCACCTCACTGTAGACTACAGGAGACACATTATTTTATATATCGGTTTTTGATTTTGATGAACGGTGTTCCATTACATGTATTGCTAAAAATAAACATTTCTCTTAAATATTTTCCAAATGCTACCACTCCGACTGTTTTAGTCTCAATGCAAAAAGTCTTGTTAAGAAAAGTACTAGACCAGTGGTCATTTTTAAGTGCTAAGTGCAGCGCTAAGCACTTACTGGTGTAGTGTAATGCTGTTACAAAGTTTCAAGTTCAATGCTATTTCTTTCTTCATTTGTTGCGTCTGTGCCATTCCTTGATTCTGTTGGGTCCCATCAATTTTTATACTTTGATCTTGGAGTTTGAAACACTTTTAGAAACATGACAATTAAAAAGAATTTTTGAATGATTAGTGTTTGACTTTTATATTTATCAGGGATATCAATTGACACTAGTCATTTCTTTGGGTAATAACATTATTGATCTATTGACCTTTTAGTTTGTCTTTCATTTGAGAAAAATTAACCTTTGCCATCAACTGATATATAGGGGAAACAGTATTTCACAAACACATCTTGTTTTCCATTGATTTAAAAAAGAAATATTTTTTAAGAAAGAAAATGTCAAGGTAATTTACACCACCCCTACCCCATTTAAACAATAATATTTACCGTACCGTAATTGATTGACGTAGATTGTGAAAATAACAAAAAAGGAGGCCCGTGGGCCATATCGCTCTACCTAGCACATTGGCTAGGAAATAAAGCAGAAATCACTTCAGTATTGAAAATTGAGAAGTTCACATGGGGGGCTGGAATTTTAAACTACCAACTACCTGACGATCCTTCCATGCAAGAAATGACTTTGCTGTTTTTGAGCAGATGATTTTTTCCTATTTATTTATTTGACCCCTCCCCCAAATAGTTGCCCAGCCCTACAACTGGGAGCCCTCAAGCTTGAACAATATGACTTTGTACTACCTTAGAATGTCTCCATATCAACATGATTAAATATGGCCTTTCTGTTCTTGGGGAAAAAAAATTTCCTTGATATGGGCAAAACTTGGATCCCCAATTGTGGCCCACCCTACTCAATCCCTTCCGCCCGTTCATGACTTGGACAAACTTGCATCAACACCACGTGAGGGTGCTTACGTAAAGATATGGCCAATCATGGCTTTGTGGTTCTTAAAGGAGAGTTTAAAAAAATTCTGATGTATTTATTCCAATGGATAATTAATGCCTTCGGCTCAGGTGAGCTAAAAATACAATAAATTGTTTTATAAAACAGGCTTCCTTAAAATTGCGCTGTGTAAACTTTTCAAAATGTGCTCATATTGAACACTGCATAAATGTTAAATGATATACATGCAGTAGTTTTTATTGTGCTAACACTGAATACAACTTGCAATCATTTTAAGTTAGATTTTAAATCAGATTTTATTTTTTGCAGAAGACATGAAGGAGTAAAAGAAGGTTTTGCAGAGAGTTTTATCATTTATGCCATCCAATTTTTAAAAAAAGTATTCATATCTTAATTTGTTGTTGGTGAAGAAACAGAAGTGGCATGTATTACGAAATGCATTGTGTTAATTTTCCAGACTGAGAGAAGGAATTTATACATTTAATGCATTCCTTATAAATTTAATAATTAAATTTGTTTACACCGATTCCCTCACTTTATAAATCCAAACGTTTATGAAACTGCCTATAAATCCGTATCGTCTTTTGACGGTAAATGAGATGAATACTTTCCTTTTATGCATATTTCAGGTACATGTAATAAATGCAGATGATAAAACAAATCGAACTTGCGACTTGTGCCAAAATAAAGTTTAATTTTTAGATGATTAATTTAAGGATAAAAAAATTGAGAAGGGTTGAAATTGTTAAACAAAGTACTCCAAAGTGAGGCCAAGCTTTGACGTGAAGAAGCGTTCTTTAACATATTATTTAATTTTCCCTTGGAGTGCCGAAGTAAAACATTACGAATTATTTATAATATTGGACAACTTTCTTTGTCTTTAACCTACACAACTTTTAAAGTTTTTCAATTGTAACAGTGGGTACCATTGTGGTATGTAAAAGAATGCATTAACTCTTATTTTTTTATTTTCTGTAAGTAAAATATCAAAGTCATTGGGTTAAGCTTCCTTCGTCATGTTCTACCAAGCAAAATAAAAGTTCTGCAAGACAGCTAACACATTGTGAATATTGAATTTCAAACGAAATCCAGTACTGCTAATAATTTACAAGACAAGACAAATATTTCAACGCGATACACATTATACAATTTTTTGAAATATTCTTGTTATAAATAAGATATGTTCAGCGGTAAGTTATTACTGTGTGAGAAAGACGATATATGAATTATTGAGTTTCTCTGATCATCATAATTGACTCTTTAAGTGGTTCGCCTCCTGTCCAGGAATTCCATACCATGTATTCTGGTCCTCTGTCATCTGCAGAGACTCTATATTTCGCGTTAAGATTTGAAAGACTACACCAATAGTACCACCAAGCACCATGGCGTTCTGTTGCACAGCGTCTCCCATTATAGGCAGCTTCGTTGTCTTTAGTAGAAAATCTCTTTTTATTGTGATAGTTGCCCAAACTGTCACCTGTAACAGGATAACATGACAGATGGCAAGTATTAATCTTCATTTTTTGATCTGAGGAATAAGTTGCATTGCCAAAAAGAGAAATATATTCATACATGAATACTCATTCCCATATCCATCAAAATTCTTTGTAATATTATTTTAAATTCTTATGAATATCAATTTCAAAGTACTTTTTGTCTAAAGCCGGATATCACTAAAAGAAATAGTATGTTTCAGTACCGGGTACTTGGCAAAGGAACAGACACGAACTATGATTACTTGTTAGGTTTGACATGTAGTCGGAGACGAGAATCGTACCCGGTACCTACCGACTACAAAGCAAGCACTCTTCCACTTGGCCGGTACAGGTTTTTTTTTTTTAAATAAATGTTTCTAATATGGGCTTAATATGTCCAATCCAAAGTAAAACTAAAATTTAACCGATGCATTTCAAAAAAAAAAAAAGAAAATATGTATTTAGTTACCCGCTGTTCCGGAATATCCGGACACATTTAGTTTAAAGAAAGTGTCCTCACTTCCGAGGGAAAACGTGGAATATTGAGCAAAAGACTTCTCTCTATTAAAACGCTGAAGCTCAATCCGTAGTGTCTGGTTCCCATTTTTAGTTAAAGCATGAATCACATCGTTTCCTACGCAGCACAGTTAAGGTTACAAAAAGGAGGCGGAGCCTAATTTGTACGGGAAAACTTGACTATGACATCATACACAATATACGTCATACAACATTTCTTTAAAATACCACAAAATGAGTTTATTTGCTAATTTAACCAGTAAGAAATCATCAAACTACATAAAAACTTACTACAGCGTGTTGTTTTGTCGTTAGTTAAATCCTACATAAGAAGTTATAAACAAGTCACTGATCGCAATACACTTGTCAATATGACGTCATTTCTTACAAGGTGACGTAATTTGTATGCAGTGAGAGACAGATCAAGTAATATTTTCTCAACAAAATATGTATTCTCTAATTAAATAAAATATTATTTACAGATATTCTATGGGACAATAACTTGAATTTAATGTCTTCTTCGCTATTTTATTAATATATTTTCTGTACATTACGTATTTAATTGACACTGCCGTATATTTGTATGCAAGTACATCGGAGGGTAATGTGGGGGGTCTTTATAAATCGATCTAGTGCAAGGGCATACACTCTATGGATCAAAGTAAGCTTTTACATTTCAACTATAGAACTAATAAGGTATCTGAAAAGTGCTGCGATCCTGATGAAATCGTAAAAACAAGTTTATTATATCAATATTTCATGCCGCTGACCAGCAAAAAATAGAGCACTCGGTCATACAAGTATAATTTTATCAATGAAATTGCAGAATTTAAACAGGATCGCAGCACTTTTTAGGAACTACAATGCTTTTTGAAAATATTTATATACTAAACTTGGAAATTTAACTTGGTTATGCCCTTGCACTAGTGATATTTATATGTAACATCAATACTTCAAGTCAATGTGCTAGAATCGCGTGACTGCCGCGTCACGTGACTATTCTAAATATAAAATATAATTGTCCTTGATATGTAGTTATTAATCATAGTTACAATTATCCGATATAAATAATGTACTAAAAATAATCGCCATCCCGATAACGAATTCATTTTTAAAATACAAAATTTAGCCGATATTTCCATTGCGCGCCTTAACTGTACTGCGTATTGTTATAATGCAAATCAAACACTTAAATATAAGAATACAAATAATAAAAAGGTGTAGTTAAAAATTCAAATTGATGAGTGTGAAATCAACAGACAATTTATGCAAAGGATATATAACAAATCCTTATTAGTTAATAGATACAATACAAATGAATTATCTCTGCATAAAAACATACCTATCCAATAATTTTTAGAGGCATTCCCAAATCCATTTTTATACTCTATCCATGTCCGATAAAAATCAAGGCCACCATCCAGGCGTTTCTGAATGATCTGTAAACAATAATATTTATTATAAGGTTATTTAACTTATATATTCGTGGATATTGGCACGATTTGGCTCTCGGAATGCACGAGCTTGTGAATACATTTGTACCAGTGCCAATATTCACCAATATAAGTTAATTAACTTCTTAAAATTTTATAGCTAACACATCTTTTATTATTGTTCGCAGTCGACTGTAAAGTTTCACGTTACGTCACGATCTAATTTGACAGCTCGCTCAAGGTAAATAGTACCCGCCTCCTAGACGCAAGCTAAATGATTGGTAGTTTCTCCTTATCCCTGATTGGTTTTTCGTGACAGACAATGATAAACAAGAAAAAAGTTGGACATAACCATTTAATTACACGTTTTCAATGTACATTGAACGCCTTTTCTTAGGTGGCACGGATTCATCTGCAATATAAAAAAAAACTAGAAATTATAAAGTGGTAAATATAAAAGATCGGGATTTTTTTTCTTAACATTAAAGTGACATGATTAAAATTATGTAATTAAAACATTAACTCACCCCAGGGACATGGTCGTTTGGACTTGGGGGCCTTCCTAATGCCGCAGGAAACCGCACGGAGTTCGCCTCCAGAATTGGCCGAGCTGGATTTTCTATGTTAATATTCCGAGGTCTGAAACGTCCGCCGTCAAAATTTTTTATTATTGTAGGAAACGTGTGCGATATTTGCTCCAAGTTATCTGGCACCTTTCCGTGAAAATGTTTCTCAAGTTTTGCCGTATCAATGTTGACAATGCCGGATCTTGGTACGTATTGCCCGTTTGCAGTTTTTAGTAAATATTTTCCTTTGTCGCTGTTAATTAGATATCCCCTAATTTTCTGACTGAAAGAGTTTTTAACAGAGTCAGTTGCCTTCACTTTTGTCTCCTGCTCTAACTTTTTATCTCTCAAATTTTTCTCAAGTCGTTTGAGGTGCTCATTTGAACTTTCAACAATTGATTTCTCTTCCGGATGTTTACTTACATCACCGCATTGCTGACTTGTCACACATTTTTCAATAGTGCACTGTCTTGCATTGTGGTCAATTGCAAGTCGCAGATGGCAATTTCCGCATTGCTTACCGGTAAAGTTTCCGATATTTTGGGGGGCTGTACAGTATTTTTCTTGCATACTCAATGCGTAATCCTTTGCACTTTCTACTTCTGTCTCCAATTCTTCTATGTAATTGTTAAGATCTTTTATGGACTGTTCGATTGGCGATTGGTAGGTGTAAAAATCGAGAAATTCATCACTCTGATTATAGGTGCTTTTAGTAAATGTGGGTGTCTGGAAATTCAACTCCTTTCGAGCTACCGTTTCTCCGGATCGAGGATTATTTAACGACTGGAAATGTCCCGGCGACGTTCCTTCGGATACTTTAATATTAACGACAGGGATTTCGTCTGAACCTGATGTGCGCACGGTCCTGAGGAATTTTGAGAAATTAGCTGGAGAAAGATCCACATAATCTCCCTCTTTGTCCTTGTATGACATTCTTAGCATCGGCATTCGGCTGATGTATTTTATCTGGGACTGTATGACTGCTTCCAGTCCGATGTATCCAAGAGACATCAGCTCAGTAAATACTATTGAAATAGGCGAGACTCGACTTTCATTGTAGAACATATAGTGAATCTTCAAATCAATCTCATCAGCTGCGTTTTGAACTTCTTTTGATAGCGCCATTTTTGACAACTAAAGTCTAATGACTTAATGTAAAGATCTCGTGCAAAATTTGATTGACCAATCAAACAACGAGATAGTTCCCGCTACATAAAAAAAATCCATATTATGTATAAAAATAAAACATGACCTTCAACCTTTTGCGCAATTTGCAGAGAATCATAGGTACCCCCTGCATAAAAAAAATTCCAAATTATGTACAAAAATAAAACTTGACCTTCAACCTTTTGTACAATTTGCTGAGAATCTATAGGTAAGGGAGAAATATACCTAATTAAAACCTAAACCCTGTTTATTTGAAGTTCAAGAATTAGTAACGTAGGGGCGGGGGCCTCACCGGGGGCTATTGCCTCTCTTTTAGATGGGGGGAGGGGGTGAACAAGACTGCCTTAAACTGTGTTTTGTGCCTCGTCCACGCATACTTACTTTGAGTGTAGCATCATATAGTTTGAACATCAGGGATTTAAAGATAGGCCTTGCTGTGATTTTTATGCGATGATCAATATAAGTACTGTGTAGATTATTAATGAGAAGTCGAGGGATGTGGGTGGGGCGAGGACATACATGTATATTTGTGTACCTGTGTGCAGTTTTTTTTTTGTACCCCTCCACTTTACAATAGCAAATCTATTATTGAATAAACTCCGTAGGAATGTAGTAACCAGGCACGCATGAAACAGGGAGGGATGGCCTTCCTACTTTTTTCAAACATAACTTTAACTATTGAAATGTTCATTGAAAAGCTCTCCCCACCCCCCACCCCCTTTCAGTAAAGTAAAATAAGGGTAATGTAGTACACGTGTTGCATAAAAAAAAGATACCAAAAGAAGTTATTATTTTAAAAAAGTTGGTCTACCCAATTCGAATACCCCCCCCCCCCTTTCAAGAAATGGATTTCGAGTTTTGGTGAAAAAAAATTATATCTTTTGCATGTCAATTTTTCTTTTCAGATAAGCATTTTTTTTTTCTGGCTGCCCCACCCCTCACTTTTAAAAACGATGCTATATATAGAGTAACAACAAAAAAAAAAGTTTCGATACCGATACTTCCTGTCTTTATATACCCTAATACATACTAACGACTGCAAATTGTTTTAATTGATTTTTAAGGCATGTTGTCGAATCAAAAAAGAAATAGCGCAGGGAGGGTCTATGACAAGGGACTTCCTACAGGAATTGACTATCGAAGGAGTGTCATTGATTACATGGAAAGAAATGGCGCAAGGCTCGGAGAATACTCTTTACCAAGAGGACTTTGTACAAAAGCGGCACAGGAATTTAAATTAAACCCAGTTACAATTAAAAGATTTTGGATGCATTATTGTAATAAAGGGGTTGTAAAAGTCCCAGTTAATAAACCCAATGAAAGAAGTAAAAGGAAATTAACGGAAGAAGATGTGGAGTACGTTCATGTCTTGAAAAAAGTGAGACCATCAATGCCTTTTTCATCGATTAGGGATGAACTGTTGAAAAAAGTACAATTTCTAGGTCATTGCGAAATGACTTAAACATGACCTATAAGCGGATATCAAAAATAAACAAAAACAGATTTACTCCACAAAATTTGAATTACACGCAACATTTCATCAATCTCATTAACCAAAATGATCCATACACACTAAAATTTATGGACGAAATGGGAATAACACTCTCAGATGGGCAAAATGATTATGGACATTCTACAAAGGGTCTTCCATGTATCGAATTAACTCGATACAATCGCCATGCAAACGTTACTGTAAATGCCATAGTAGGAATAAGTGGAGTAAAATATGTGAAAATATTTGATGGACCATCTAATGGTAACGAATATGTTCAATTTATTGCAGAGGCTACACAAAGTTTTACCGACGAGGGGGAACCTGTCTTTCACCCGGGGGATATTTTGATAGCCGACAACGCAGCAATACATCACAACAGGGCAGAAAGGGAGCTTCGCAATTATTTGCCAACAGTGGGAGTCGAATATTCCTTTTTGCCTACATATTCCCCTGATTTGAACCCAGTGGAAGCAGTGTTTCGTAAAATAAAGAAAATTTTGAAAGCAGATAGATACATCACATTATTGAATGTCGATTTAAAAATTGCTGTTTATGAGGCTTTTAAAGAGATAACGTCAGCTGATACCTTGTCGTTTTTCAAAAATACAGAGTACATTATCAATTATTAAAGTGAGATCTATGCATATATGTTTTTTTTTATTCTTTTCATGATATCTATGTGATAAAGAATTACAAACAGGATGCAGCTCAATCTAATTAAAGATTAGATTTGTATCTCCGCTTCTCGACGATGCCCTACATAGTATATACATTGCATATCATAGAGATGTGGGTACAAGTTAAACAGTCCCAGATACAAGTACACTGACTATAAGCTGCGACTGACTTCTTTGTTCTTTGAACAGTCTGATTTTAGGACCCGATTCTACTGGGTATAAAGATAATTGGGAATATATTTCAACAAAGCGTAATATTAAATTGGATTATCAGCAGTGTAGTTATTATTTTCATTTTGAATTTCAGAGAGACCATACAGTAATTTTTTTCCGGGACAGCTAGCGCTTATAATGACACCGAGCTTGTGTTTTTAAAATCCAAAACTTTCATTGTCCAAAGAAGACACTCTCTGTATTAATATTTTTAAATAAATTATGTATACAATTTATGTTCATTACTAGAAAAATTGAGCTCTTCGCTTTTTACTTTTATAAGAAAATTCCTACCAATGAAAACATAATGAATTTCAGTTTGCGATAATTATAAAGAAATCAAATTATATACCATAAGAGTTTCTATTTTTATATAATATTTGCTCATATAGTTTATTTTAATATCCAACCGATAGCGCATAAAGATTGCGATGTTCTTTTTTTCTGTAATATGATGATTTATTTCTTGATAAGCATTAAAAAATGTTCAAATATTTAAAATTAAAAAAAAATTCCGAGTTGTTCGTCCGAACTTTCGATGTAATACTTGACTCTGCCTAAAAAATGAGTTGACCAATCAAACAGATCTTATGTAGGAGGCGTGTATTGTTTACGCCGGGCGCATCTGTCAAACTAGATCGTGACGTAACGTGAAACTTTACAGTCGACTGCGAACCATAATATCAATTTATATTAATTATGTCACTTTAATAATTCAAATTAATGAGAATTTTCAGAATAAGTATTTAAATTAACGTCTGGTCTTTGAGTGTTCAATATAGCATCATTTAAATGACCCTGTCAAGCATTAGAAAATATTTTAACTGCTTATTGGGGAATTATTGAGGCTAATCCGTACAAAATCATGAATAAACTAGAGCAAAGCTC